CTGGCATGGCTAAACAACAGGATTAAACAGATTATTAAAGCAAGAAGGCATCCTTCAAAAAGCTGAACTTTCATTCAAATGAGGAAAACAGGACTATTAACTGTGACAGGATAAATGTAAAAGGATTCAAGACAGCCCAGCAAAGATTTTAGAGGAAAAATTTTGCTGAAGGCAACAAGACTAATATTAAATTCTTGTTTCAAATATACCAGGAGCAGGAAACCAGCCAGAGAGTCCATGGGGCCAGTATGTGATCAGGACTGTTCAGTGAAGATAAATCAATAGCACACATTTTAAGAAGTGATTTGTATGATTGTGCATTCCCTGTGGAAGAGCTTGAGGAGGTTCCCACACCAAAACCTTTCTTTGTGGGAGGAAGCATCAGAGGAGCTGCTGCAATTGAAAGTGTTGCAAGGGAAAGTTATAGGACAAGCAGACTGAAATGAAAATGAACAAGTTGCCAAGACCAGACAATGTTCAAAAATTCTGAAAGAACTCAAGGGTTTTTATTTTTTGTTTAAAGAAGCCAAAGTACTTGCTATAGCGTGTAGCTTCTTGCTTAACACTGCCTTGATACTCGAAGACTGGAAGTGGCTGATGTGCTGCCAGTTTTTAAAAAGGACTGCAAGGGTGATCTGGCTAATCACAGGCTGATGAACCCAGTGTTTAAATTAGCAGAATAGTGTTCAAATTAGCAGAAACTGTAATGAAGTGGATGCATGGACAAATATGATGTATTTGGGAAGAGTCAACACTACTTTTGGAAAGTGCAGTCATGACTTACAAACATATTGGGGTTCTCTAAAGGTGTTAACAAACATGGATAAAGGGTTGATTGATATAGTTTGTCTGGATTTCCTGAAAACTGTAATAGCTTCAACAGAGGCTCTTAAGAAGTCTAAGCAGCTACTGGATATGTGAGGAGGTGGTCACATTTGTAAATAATTAGTTGAGATTAAGGAAGGAGTAGGCTGTAAATGGGCAACTTTTCCAGTGGATAAGGGAGATTACCAGTGGCTTCCCAGAGGAGTTCAAGCTTTCTCCTAGGCTGTTCAGGTGCTCATAGATGACACTGAAAAGGGACTGAAGCTGAAGTAGTACACTGTGTACATGATACTGAGACACCTAGGATACCAAGGGCAAGGGCTGGCTGTTTTTGTAAAAACAGAGTGACGACAAAATAAAACAGCAGATGGAGTTCAATGTGTCTCTAAAATGATGCACCTGGGGAAAAACCAATCCCAGTATATAAAATGACAGCCTTTGACTTGACCATTACCATGCAGCAGTGAAATCTCAGCTATGACAGATAATTCTGCCAAAATTTTAGCTCAGTAAAGATCAATGAAAAAATCAAACAAACAAATTGATTCCCTTTAGGAGAGCAAAAAACCCCTCCACCACTACACTGCTGAATAAATCTGTACTGATGTCCCTACGCAGTTCTGGTTGCCACCTGAGGAAGGACAGAGAACTCAGAAAGGCTCCCAAAGGAGCCACATGGATGATGAGAGGTTGCTGGGTGAAACAAGTAGCACAGCTGGGGGAGAGCCCTGTAAAACCATCGGTCAAAGGCAGAGGATAAGTGAGGAGTGTCTGCTCGGTCTTTTCCAGCATAAGGTGCATCCCAGGTGAACAGCAGGTAGCCGGTTCTGAACAAATAAAAGTTGATTCTTGCAAGTGACTTGTAATTAGGCCGTGGGATTTCTTGCTGCGGGACACAGCAGGTGGTAAAAGTTCACAGGACTCGGAGACTGCACAGGCTTGTGGAAGACAAATCTACCAAGGGCTATGAGACATTTAGCAATCACCTCTGGCTGAGGAAATGCCTGAGCTACAAGTTCTTGGAGGCCATGGGAATATCTGTGGGAAATACCAGCATATGCTTCTTCTAAAGATTTTTGTAATCTTCTCACGCATCCCCTTTTGCTGACTGTGGGAGACAGGACTCTGAGCTGGATGGACCTTTGCTTTGAGCCAGTATGACCACTCTTGTGCTATCCAGTGGAGTTGTGGTTGTATGTATTTGTAGACAAAAGATTGAGATTCACAAGAAGATAAAACTACCTTGCGCTTTTATTTCTATTTTTTTCCTAATTAAAATACTGTAGAGGCAATTGGTGAAAAAATATTTTCATCAGATGAGGAATTGTGTGTGAACAGGATGGAAGAAGAAATGCAATGTATCAGATGCTTCATCTTTCTTGTTCCTTATTGCCAGTGCAATTAGTTTCCTTATTCTCTGCATCAGGGCTTACAGTGTGACACTAATCACATTTAATCTCTTATGAACTCCTCTACCGAGTTTGATCCCAGAAGCTGTTATTTGTCTCTGTAATTCCTTTGTTAGTCCTGCAACTGATACAAACTCCCCGTCATTTTTAAAAGCGCTTGTGTGTGTTTGACAAAAACAAAAGAGCAAGATCCTGGCCTTAGAGGTGCCATTCAAAGGAGGGTGGGCAGCTACAGAAAGAGTTGCTGCCTGGATTGTTTATTATATTGCAAGAACTGGTTGAACAGGAGCCCTTTGTTTTACAAGCATGCAAATGAAGCACAGGAGAACTGAGGGTGGCACAGAGGCTGCAATGAAATTACAAAGTCATGGCTAAGCTTGGTTGAGTAACAGATTTACATGATGCATAGAGTGCAGTAAAAGGTAGTGTTGTGTATGTGCTTGCACAGCACGATGCAATCCAAGCATGAGGAGCCAGCTGCGTCCCAGAAACACTGTGTACAGCTGTGCTGGAATTGCACTCTGCTGCTTTAGCAGCTCTTGCTGCTCAGCTGGGCTCTGGGCCGTCTGCACAGCCCTGCATTTGCTGTGTGAGATCAGGTCTCATAAAAATCAGTGGGCAGTGTCGTTGTTAACTAGTTCTGCACTCCAAGTGGCCTACATTTTAGGTTTCAGAGCTTCACAAGCACTTATGAAAACTTGGAAAACTTTAGTGGTTCTCCCCCTTTGTGTAGGAAATTATCTTAGTATCAGGAACAGGAAGTAGTAGAGCTCCTGAATTATTACCCAGTTTATTGGCTGCCTAAGCATCCTGCACCATTAGTAAAGGCATCTGTTTTGCTATGAATGTTCCCAGTCAGATGCACTTTCACACACGTAGACATCATTAATTTTTGTATCTATTTGCTTTAATCATCATATCTGCCACTATCCCTGCCAGTCAGTACCATGCTGGGTTATAATGAAGAGCAGTTAATTTTGTTACAGACCATTTGGAGAATTCTGAAGTCATTTTACTTCTTTTTAATACAAACCAACATTTTGGTTCATTTACAGAGAGACATTTCTGTCCTCAGGGAATGTTTCAGGCTACCAGAGTGTTACAGACAGAATATACCATGCACTGCCTCCATTGAGTAACTCTCTGGTTCAGAGTGTGTTTGCTTCACAGCTGAGGCTCTCAAGCCTCAAAGCTTTCTGGATCCTTGAAGCTCCGAGGTGAGTGAAGCGAACCCTCAGAGGCACCCTTCCTCCGTTGACACTGAGCTGCTTGGAGATCAAAGTCCTCTGCACTTCTTGCTGGTGTGCTTATTCCTTCCCTACCACAGTGCAAAGAACCTGGCCGCTAATAGCTAATTAACAAATTTCCCATGATCACAGCTTATTAACTTGATTCACCACTAGGAGTTCTAGAAAACACTCTTTACAAAGGTGAATAATAAAAATTTGAGATGAGATGTCATCACACTGGTATCACCGAAATTGAATTATTCTGCATTACAGATATTGGTGAGATTCTAATAACTTTCAGTTTTGGGGAATTGCCCTTCTGAGCTCTCTCATCACCTGGCAGCAGTTTTGTTTGCCCAATGTGTCTGTCATGGTTGTGTGCAAGATATTTAGGTCTAGTGGTTTTCTTAGCTATAGTGTCACACAGGGTTACATAATGCTAAATTACATACCTCTGTGCTCAAGAGGCACCTTAAATGACACCGGCAAAAAAAAACCTGGTGTCAAGTTAAGAAAAGCAGAGTCTTGCTGGCAGTTTAAAATATTCATTCTAACCTCATATTTCCTCATTTCAATGCCATCCTGCTAATTATCCAATATCAGATACTATCGTTTCATCTTCAATAATGCCTTTCCCAAACATTGACTTATGGGAATACAATTTTCTGCCACTCCTGTCTGGCACGCAAAGTCTGGACATCTTTGATGAATAAGATGTTCTGATGCCTCTGAGATAGGATCAGCAGTAAATGATTGACAGTAGGTAGGTTACAACATGGGAGCTATTCTGTGAAGGCAGAAGTAGCACAGCATCTTGGTAGGAAATGTATTCTGGAATGACTCTTACTGCATCTTTCCCAAGGAGTGATAATGGATGTTTCTCACTTTTCTAATACATGGCCTACTTTCAAAGTCAGAGCAGAGCGTATCACATATCAAATAGCAGCTTGGCCTCTGAGTTGCCTTTTCCTGATCAGATTAGATGGGACTCTCATAACTAATTGAATGTTGTTCTTATTTATGAACAACCATCTCTATTCTTTTAGCCATTTACGCATTTTCCTAGGAGGACATTCCTAATGGATGGAGGATTGTTTCCAGTCACTATCAACAACACAATTAATATAAATTACAACATGCAGGTACAGTGAGACAGCAGCCTTGTGTTTATGTCCAAAGACATAAAGACAAGATGAATCTATGATGCAGGAAGAAAATAAACTGATACTATTTCGTACCCCACCTTTGTTTTTTAAAGAACAGAAGTGAACAAAAACCATCTCCTGTACAAAAGCCCATTTTACCATTTACTTCACTTTTGATCTTCCTTCAAGCAGAGCAGAGCATTTTTATTGATAATGAACCTATACTTAAAATTTTCGTAGTGTGCTAGAACTAATGAATCAAATAATTTTCATGCATGGGCGTATATGTTTTAGGACCATGGTGCTAAAATCTTGAAATCCATTTGTGTTTGTAACCCAAAAACCCCTGTGCTGACAGTTATCCAAGATTCGCTGTTGCTGGATAAGCTTTGCAGCAGACCTCAGGGACTCTCCTTTCCTCTCCAGCTGTGCCTGTGCAGCCTGAGTGATGCAGACTGCAGAGTTGCTCATGGGGAGCTGGTGGCAATGCAGTTTCTGATGGAGGACATACTGCAGAACAGCTATGGCCATGCTGTGGAGGACCATGCTGACTGCCAACCCTCGTTAGCTAAGAGCAAGCAGGTACCTCTGACAACCCCGTTTGTTTGGGACTTTGTCACTTCCATGTAGTTCTCCCGTTTTTGCAACCAAATCCCTGTGAACATAAGCCTGAGGTATGCCATAATAGCCTCACCTACTCAAGCAAAGGGAACAACATTGTCTCCTATAAATGCTGAGTGCTCTCAAGAGAAGCCCTAGTGATAGATGCTCCTTGAGGGCCTGTTGGTATTGCCAGACTTTTGGAGAAAACAGACTGTGCTGACTTCTCCCTACACCCCACTGAAGGTCCAGCTCTTCTTTATCAAGAGCTACTCAGTGCAAAGGGGAAAGGAACAGCCTGGCCACTGTCCAAAACCAAATCTAGTCAAGGAGTGGCAAGGTACTTCCAGGCTGTACTTCCCCAAGTACTTGCATGGTGGATGTGGATGTGAGGAATGGTTGCTGGGGGTGCCTAAAGCCTGCCAGAAACTACACAAATATTGCGTTCAAGGAATGGGAAGAGATTCAAACTGTGATGGAAAACAGATGAGTTGATTGATTTGTAAGGTAAAATGAGTGGAAAGGACAAGTGTAGTTATTTTAAGGTCTGCTCCCTTCCAGATCAGACCTAAGAGTTTCATTTCTGTAACAGTACTTTTAGTAGAAACCAAGCAGAGAGAGATGCTTTAGAAGAGATTCACTTGAGGAAAGCAGCAATAAAACAAAGGATTTAACTTCTGTGTAATTTTTCCCCATCTCTGCTGTATGTGTGTATTCATTGCAATCAAAAAGTAGCCCTTTTTTCCTGAAGGACACTGGTGTAAAGCCCTGCTGCATGTTCTGATTGTGCAATAGCCTGTCCCATGTCTCACTGTATATTGCTATGAGATGCTACTAAGCAAAAAAAAAAACCAAAACCAACAACGTTAAAAGCTTATAATAGTTTTTTGAACTTTTCCCTGTGACTTCCAGCAGAATTTGGCAGAAACAGTTGATTCAAGTGCTAACTGGTTGCAGAACAACAAAAAGACGTGCAAACTTTTGCTGAGGCATCATGATCCATTAATATCACTTAACTTGCTGAGATCTTTCCTCATACTATGGAAGCAACTAGAAATATTAGAGGCAGAATGGGGCCGGATCAAGCTGAGGACTGAGGATATCAATACAGTTCCTCTCTACAAAGTTTTGTGAGCAATATGGGTAAGTTACCTTGGATGCAAGAATATTCCAGAGTGACTGAGAAGATGAAAAATGAGAAAAGTCTCCACCTTCTCCATTCATTTTCCCCCGTCACCCTTTTTCACTTGCCTTTTTGTTTTATTTCTACCTTTCTTTATTTTTCCTTAGAATTAATCTAGAACTTTCGCTTTTCCCAGGGCTACCTTTTGTTTCTTTGTTTCAGTATGGTTGTTTTTCCCCCTCTTTCAATGTCTATTCAGACTGTTTGCTGATGTTTTACAAGTGCATTCTTCTCAGCCATGTGACCCGCCTCTGTATTTCAGGTTCCATAAACAATGTTAAATACAGTACTTGAATAAATGGAAATTTTGGAAGCCTGTTAGATGAATTGTAGCAGAATTCTTTCTAACCCTCCTACTTGGCTCAACTTTGAGCAGTCAAGAATAGAAAACTGGAAGATTTCCATCAGAGAGGCCCTTCTGAAAGCAGCAAATGGAACATCACTTTTTAAAAGCCTTGTCCCCGGAAATCACAGAAAAGGAAGTGAAAGAGAAAGATGACACAGTAAGGGTGAAATCCGTCCATGAAGGCACTGGAAAACACTGTTGTCATGCAACAGAGCATAGAGGAAGCAATGCTCAGGGAGCCTGTCCCTACAAGGCCAAGGCATTTTAGATTGGCAAGACTGAATTCATCACAGAAAATCTGTGTGTGTGTAAGGAGCTGGTATCAGATTTGCTCCATTCTGGCCTCCATTTATCTATATCCCAGAGCTACCTCCCATGCATTATCACCAGATTGGAGTGAGCACAGTCCAACGGTGGGGGCCCACGGTCTTTGCCTCTGATTTATAAACTCTGCCAAAGGAGCAGCTCTGGGGCAGAGCAAGACTGGGTTGCAGGAGGGCTGGGAGTCGAGAGCACAAGTTCTCCATGCAGAGCAAGCAACAGCTTGGTCTTCGCCATGGGACTGGGGAACTGTGGGAGAGCCCCAGCTTCAGCATCTCCTAGAGCTTTCTTGTGGTGATGCCCGAGATTGAGCTTAGCAGTTACTGCCTCCTGGGAGGAGAGGTGAGCTCCCTGCCCCTGGCTTTGCTTACACCAGCCTTTGAGCAAGAGAAGATTCTGTAGCAGCACCTGCAACAGCTCTTTTGTAGCAGGCAATCTGCCAAATGTACTGTACCCAAAAATCCCCCTGTGTTTCCCTCTTCCACATCCCTACCCATCCCCTTCCATAGATAAGAGCTCCCGGCTTCCCCCTCTAAGCTCTGTGCTAACCTTTGTGTCAGATTTAAAAGGCAGCGTGATTAAAGCAATAAAATGTAAGGAGGTATATATATGCCTGGCTAATGGCTCCTCTGCTTCTAAGAGCAATGTGTGAGTCTGCCTTGGCACTTAGCTCTCAGAGGCACTTAGCAAACCCAAGAACAGATAGGAAGGAGAGCAGGGGAGGAGGTGAAGGGAGTTTCTTGGTCTATTTGAACTTCAGTGATAGACAAGTTCTTACCAGTGACCAGATTTCCCTGCTTTATTTGGCTGACCCCTTGTTCCTTTCCTTCCATTTTAGTTTTGTATTATTATAAACTTGGAGAAATGACTGAACTATGTAATAAGGCAGGACCAGTAAAGAAGAGACTGTCCTGTCCCCCTTGTAGGTCGAGCAAGGCTAATGCAGTGAGTTGAGACTTAATCAAATTCTGGATGGGATAGGAACAGGGGCAGGGGAGGAAAAAGGAAAATTAAGTAAATGTGAACACAGAAATTTTGGGCAAGAATTTGTGAAATACCCCTGTCTTGGTGATTTTAGCACAGATATCCTGTATCCGGCCATGAAAGCCATAGTCAGACAGAGGGGCATAGAGGAGGAGTTTGGAGAGCCCATCACAAGCATTCAGCACATACCTCCTCCCAGAGGAGCATCCGAAATGGAAATGAAAGTGTCTCAGGTAAGGGGAGGGTTGTTGGGGGGGGTATTGCAGGGCACCACACAGCATCATGTTTTCCTGCAATTTCTGATAAGTGAAGTTCAGCAGAGGCCCGTGGAGGCTGTCATGGGGGGAAGTCTGGCAGATGTGGGTGACACAAGAGGGTCTGCAATGACACCTCTGGTGTGGTGACTGGAGTGTGTGGGTCCTGGGACAGCCCAAAGCAACAGGGGAACCTGCCTCCATTCAGAATATCTGTGGCACAGCACTGGGCATACAGTCACCCCCAAATGAAATTAACCTTGATACTGTATCTGAAAGTACTGTATTTTATAGAAGAAAGAAATGGTAATTGCTTTGGTTTAGTCTGCTAGTTTTTGCTAGCTGGCAGGTTGCTTTGTAGAGATTTAGTAAGAGCTATGTATTACACTTGATTCTAGCTTCAAAAGCTTCTGAAAAGCCTAGAAATCCACATGATCCGTGATGTGCAGAAGAAAATAAACCAGGAGATTACTCTAGTGATATTTGAAAGAGCCAGACAAGAGAGCAGTCTCCCCACTGGTAAGGAAAATTAAAACACCCTTCCTGGGAAATACAGGAGCCCCAGTCTTGAGTGGCAGAAGTAGCCTTGGTGCATAAAGGCAGCAAAAACTTGTCCTGTGTGTGAACAGGAGAGCATATTTGCTTTCAGCTCCCCACTTTGCTGGATGTCCATTTGGAGGCCAGGGACGCTTAGTGTGGGCAATTTGGGTGTTCACAGGCACAAATAGTGAAACAAAGAAAATGTGGAAATGAAAGGGAAGAAAGCTGTGCCCTACTGCCACTAGTTGTGGTTGCAAGCAGCAATAATTGGTGCACAGAAATGTTTGATTTCACACAAAAGTCATGTTCTTTACTCAATATTTATCGAAAGCTCCAATACACAATTGTGAGCCAGGCCATTATTGACAGAACTGGTCCATAATGAAATTGCATTTTGGCTTTGATACCAGAGTGAATTTGATACTGCTGCTCAACACAGGCTTTGCAATTTGTTTGCAATGACATTTACCTTTTGTTGTAAACATTTTAGGAAAGCTGAGAAACCCTAAGCTTATAAAGCATACCCAGTGTCAAATCCCAGGGATTACTGAAGAATCAATATTTTGTGACAGTGATACCCACTGATGTGTGGTTTTATTCTGTTTTTTTGTCTGTTTTGTTAGTTTTTTTCTCTCTCTGTTCGCACAGAACTCTGGAAACACAGAGCATTGCAAGAAAATTTCTTAGTTGTATGACCACAGATAGTTGAAACATTTGTTCAAAGGCTGATGGAAAACTACCAAGAATCAGATACAGAGGTACATATTCTGCATTTCTATCTAAGCAACAGCTAAATCATGTTTACAGCTTTATTTATTAAAGCTCCTGTCAGTGACCTAAAAGCGAAACACATTTCTTAAGCTTATGAGCTTAGATGCAGATTATGTTGGTTTGTAATAGCGTTGGCAGCAAACTTGTGTACTGCCCTTCTGTCTCCTGACAGGTTTATTTCAGCTCTCAGGACTGTAATAATGTGAAGATGAGTTAGGGTTGGAGGTTTATAGCCAACCGCAATGCAGGATTGCAGGGCTTTCACGGATTTGGGAGTGGGAACTCTTCTTCCTGAGTCATTGCTAAATCAGAGACCCAGCATGATTGTTAGGAAGCAGTTTTAGATTGGTTGGGGTTTTTTCCAGTGAAATTTAAAGAAAATATTTATGAAAAATATGAACACTTCTGGTTAAAAACAACACAAAACATGGTTCTTTGAGAGAAGGGATGTTGGGGCCCAACTGCAATCCAGGCAGTTGCTGAGCTAGTGATTTCATTTCTCTACTGAGAATTCTCTTTTAGCTTCAGATGGAAGAAAATACATTATATAGTTGTACATAGAACCAGTCAAAAAACTGTCAAATCTGTTTTCCATCAGTTCAGTGACATAGTAGATTGGGCAAAAGCATTTACATTGAATAATTTTATTTTTGCTCCATTTATGGTGTCGCAGAAGCATTTAATTTACAATAAGGCGACGGTGTTTCACTTTGACATATGCTGTATATAGCAACTCTTGTGACTCAGACTACCTGCAAGGTTTCTTACTTTGTTTTTCTAGGTTACTTTTAGGAAAAGCAATTTACCACAGTGTCTCACTATACTGGGCTGTGACATCATGGCCAGAGAGCGCAGCAACTTTGAGATCTACTCCATGTTTTATGAGAATATTCTCCAGCGGCAGCATCGTCTCCTTTATCAAAAATAACAAGTATGCTGAGAGCGTCAATTCTATTCTTCAAGACCAGGGGCAGGTGGTTTCTCTGGGTGGGAGGCAGTTGCTAAATAAAAAATAAAGACAAGCTGTCAAGCTGGGAAGTTGTCAAGTGGAGTTGGGCCTCACTAGCACAGTCACCATGCATCTCTGTGCTTTGCTTCAGGAGCTGCACGCAGTGGAAGAAGGTGGCAACCAAAGCAATACGACTCTGACACAGGTCAGTGATGGTGGTCTATCAATTGGTAGCACTTAGTGGTCTAATTTGAGACAGAGTTCCACTGTGCAGACCCATGGTGACAGTCTTTGAGAAGAAAGGTTAGGATGGCACTGGGGCTGCTGTTTCTGTGCTCAATGCCAGAAGTCATGCTAGGATTTGTACAAGAAAGATAACCTGAAGGCAAAAGTAGTGGCCTGCTGTTCTGCGCTTCATGTTCACACTGGATGATACACTGGTAACCTTCTACCCTAAACTTTGACTGATAGGTCTCTCTTCCTACACAAAGCATTTTCCCAGGACAATTCAATCCTGTGCTTTGAGTGAAATAGGAAACAGAAGTAAGTCAGGCACATAAGCCATACTGCCGTGTAGGTACCAGGTGTGCTACACCACGGCTGCATAATCAACTCCTCTTAAGATCTGAGTACTTGGCTTCACAGCTTCAGCTGTGTTTTTTTGGGATAGTTGCTATGTGTGGGTGGATTTTTTTAAAGTAAACCCAGCCAATAAATCAGAAATGCCAGTCTTGTAGAATCATGTGATATCCATGTATTCTATTAGCTGACTTGGAGGCTTGGCATCATCACCTCAAGGTCCACTGCTAGAGGCATGTCAGCTTCTACAGATAACTACGCTACAGAGAAGGCTGCTTAGGTTTAGGGATGTTTACACAGCAGTGTTGGAACACCTGCATTTTGGATTTCATTCCTGAGCTCCCTTTCTCATCTGTCTTCATCAGTGACTGCAAGATTTCAGTTCTTCTCTGGGCTTCTTACCAGGTTCTTGCCTCACTTTCTCATGTTCTTTCCAGCTTTTTGCCCCTATATCCTTTTCTGCACAGTATCTTGTCAGCACCCTCCCTTCTTCCTGATTTCACTGTCCTGTCCATACGCTTGGGAAGGCTGGAGTGAGAGAGAGAAAATGAGAAACACACATGAGGTTTCAGCTAGGTGAAAAGATACAGGGGGAGTCAGTAGGATATTCCTGGAGCCTGTGGGCAGTGGAGTCTCTCCCCTGCCTCTTTGCTAGCCCATCACCCCCTGTCTCCTCAGTGTTGTACTCGAAGGAAGTGCGCAGGGAGGCCAGCTGCCAGCTGTCTCTTGGCTCTGCTTCAACCTCAGGAGAGACTTCCTGCTTCCACTTCCACTTCTCACTACCCTAAAGCAATTTACAGAGGCTACTGCAATCTGAAGAGCAAGCTCAGTTGCTCAGTGGAGGTGTTAGAAACCATGAGAACGCTTCAGGCACCATCAGCCAAAATAGGATGGCAGTTAGTTTAAAAACTAAAAAGTGTCTAAGGAACATACATGAACCACATGGGTTGTTTTGGGGTTTTTTTTCTCCAACAAAGGCTTAGGATTTGACCAATGTTTTGCTGATTTTACAAAAAAGACATCCAAAACAGAGGAAAACTAGTGCTGCTCTGGATGAAGATCACCAGAATTTTTCAGCAGGGCTAAAATACATGTATTTTTCCCTCAACATTCCTTTTCAGAAGTCTGTCAGTAATGTTTGCTGGAAGACAAAAACATTGACACAGAAAATTTCAGCAAGAATCCAGTGGTTATTAGCATTTACTACTTAGATCTGGCACACGGAGGTGCCAGGCAACCTTGACATCAGATTGTGCTGTTGGCTGTGCCTACAGTCTGCAGTTGTGCCTATTTCTTATCTGAATAACGTAACATGCTAAGAATGATTTTTAGCTTTCCTCCATTGTGTTCATCTGGCTGCAAATGCTGTTCAGTGTTATGAAAAATGACCAGGCATTTATACCCAGCAATGACCTACCTATGTGAAATTTAAATTCTGGCATTTAAATCTTATTAAGAAGTTCGATGATGGACCTTCCTATTTGTTCTAACCTGTTCATACCTCTGAGCGTATGTTAATTGTCAAATATCAACAAATGGAAAACATAATTGTTTTTATCATGTTAAATGGTCTGTATGTACAGCCTTATCAGCAGTCAGCATACTTGCTCCAATAAATGTATTTTATGTATTACCTCACAGCTTACTCAATGAAGCCTGCTCACAATTCTTCTGACTTTCTCTCGAGGCAGGGGAGATTATGCTGTGGGAGGCTGGGATCACCAACATAGCCAAGCCATGCACAGGATCTTCTCCTAAGATCAGACTCCCTAATCCTGCTCCCTAATCCTTCTGCTCCTCTGTTCTCTGCACATATTTCCTTCTTTCAGTTTTCATACCTATTAGTGAGATCTTTCTTTCCTGATGATCAGAAACAGACTTTTTAATGTTATATATGAAACTGATGCATTTGCCCCCTTCAAATATTGGTTGTGAACTGCCACAACTGCCAATACTGTTTCCAGGGAAAAAATGTTTCTAAGACCAACAGAGATGTACGAAATGGATTATTTCATATTATCAATGGATTCTTTTCATCAGGCCACTCAGGAAGCTATTCTTGCTCTATTTAATTAAGTATCACACAACACATTCAGACCTCTGGATTGTTTACTCCTAGGCCATGGTGTTTGCTCATCCCTAGCTTCGCTCATTCACTTTCTCTGCTGTGATAGACTGTGGGGCTGTGCCACGGCATGATGATGGAAATAACTGCTCTCAGAGCCCAGCTCGCTGACTTAGAGGAAGAAAATCTTGGTCTCAAAGAAAAGATTAGGAAAGAGGTTCGGCATGAATATGAATCATTAGTGCGGAACCTATTTGTGACTTGTGTCCATCTAAAAGTAGGTACAGTATAAGAAGGAGTATTCGATGGGTCTTTCTTTTTTGTGCTGCTGTATAATTTGCCTACAAGTGTAGCACTCAAAGGAATAAATTGCTGCAATGTGCCAGGTGGATGAATGGGTGAATCATTTATCTCCTGCTGCTAGAAGCATCTTGTAAAAATGTCTGGTAGAAAAATAGTGTACCTTTTCCAAGAGAGGAGGCGTATTCCCGAAGGATCAGGTACCACATTAGAGAGACTGATGGAAGCTCTTTGTAGTTACAAAGATATTGGATATAATTTGTCATATTCTGCATATTCTTGGAAACTTCATGTCCATTGCATAATTGTATTGCTCACTCTAACAATGCCACTGTTTTCAAGTAGTCCACTGATTTCTTTGGAGCGACATACGTCATTACTTACAAAATTAAGATACCCTGGTCTAGCCTGTAAAACCTGACCTGACGGGGACCATGTGTACTATAGAGCAGCTACCTGCACCAGATCCCCAAGGTTTTAATTGATGGTCCAGAAGCCCATTAATGTCTGTGGCCAAGGCAATAGTGACTTGAGGAATACTGTGATTTTGCAGTCCTGAAGGTGAGTCCAGTTTTCACCAGAGAGCTTATTTTTTCACCATGGTGCTGCTACTTCCATTAAATACGTACATCCCAGGACTGCCAAAAGGTTGCAAGCAAATGATACAACTGAAATTCCACTTCTTGTTCCCTGGATGCAAGAATATTGCTCTGTGTTCCTGATACTTTGATTCTAGGAAAATAGTTATGAAGAGAGACCATCTGGTTGTAGCTGAGCGACTTCTGAAATCTGAATGTGGCTTTTCCATATGTGCACACTTCATCTCTTATGAGTTCTGTTTGTAATTGCAGGGAAAGTTGGATGTCTATCGCCTTAGCATTGAGCAACGAGTGTTTGAAATCATCAGTGAAGTGAGAAGAGAGGGAGTCAACAATATGATTGAAGAAAAAGTTTGGCTGCACCAAAAATAATGGTGGCTTGGAAGAACATTTGTCTAAAGTAAGGAAATACATATGCCTGTCAGTAAACAAACACAAGGATTATATCCTGGTTAAGCTTGCTGAAGATGGCTTAAGTTGTTGCATTCTATTTGCGACACTGGTTGAATGAAGAGCATGGAGGTGGTTCATTACTGGGCTCTGTTAATGGGTACTCATTTGTCAGGCTGTCATGAATCAATCATTTTGGACTGTGTGTTTATGCTCCAAGTGCCGAAATTTCAGGCCAAACCCAGCTGTTAGTCCCTGAATAACTACATGTATTTGAACTGAATTTGGTTTGAAACTTAGGAACTCTGCTTTCTGTCTGTCCTGAGTGAAACTTAACACCATGCTTTCTACACATGTGAACATCAGAGAGGCTGAACTTGGATCTGAAGAAGTATAAATGTGAACTCACATTCAATCATATGTCAGCATTGTCATGTATTGTCGTTGTCCCTTTTTAGGGTGGGGGAAAGAGAATGTGATGTTTTAGTGACCCTGACAAATGTGCTGATGGGAATTTTATCTTCTTGTTGTGCAAGCTGGTCACGTAAAAGAATGGGGACAGAATCATTTTTTCCCGCTTGAGGTTACTTAGAATCAAAAATATATTCAGCTTTATGCTTTGAAAAAGTGCCCCCAAAACTGATGGTCTGGGAGTTATAAACTAAAGCCGGAAATTACTTTCCAGGCTACAGCTTCCAAATTAATCCCTTTTTTAGTCAAACATATTCTTCCTCAGCAAAGTTCAATTTGTGCTAAAATTATGGTAGTCAGTCAGTGACTACAAATGAGATTAAATGGATAATGGCTAAATACTTCTGTCGAAAGCAAATATGCCTGCAGATCTCTCGAGCAGAGAAGCTGGCAAAGAAGGATATAGCTGTAATGACAATAGAGTGAGAAGGGCTTTCAACACCCCTGATGAACCTGGGGGATAGGGACACCCAGAAGTAAATGAAGAACCAGTGGAAATGGAGGAGGTCTGTGTGTGAGAAGGCTGCAGGGAGACTTCCACATCCCCATTTGGGAGGACTGTGCAGAGGCAGTGA